GGGCTTAGATTTTCGGTTTTTATCACTGAGCAGCCGGTGCTCCTGACTTTGGGGCTCTTCCCATCTGCTGTTCATCACACTATTTTGTGTAGTCAGAAAATTCAAGGGGAATTCCGGAATAAGTTTCAATTTCATTATTAAAAATATGAGGTAAGTGGATTGTGGGGTGATATTCATGTAAAATCCAGTTTGGTGATCCTGCATTTGAGAAGTAAAAGGTCGTAAGTGAATGGGAGCACTGAGAGTGTGAGAATGTGTGAGAATGGTTCTGGGGGTCAAAGGGAGAGGNCACAGTTATTAAAACCTAATATGAATGACCAGCTGCCGGTGTGCAGGATGGGCGGACGGAAGTTACGGGAACAAGGATCACCAAAAACAAAATAGTAACGGCAGAGAAAGAAAAGGGCTGTCAGCTAAAGACTACAGATTCGAAGTTAAGGAAAGATCGTCGATCAGCCTGGTAGCCTTCGGTTGAACACGATCGAGAGGAGGAAGAGCAGAAGACGAAGCCCAGGGAGCCTGGGCAGTGGGGTCAATAAACATCTGGAGAGAATTAGAAAACCAACTTTTTGCGCGGTGTGAGAAGCAAGCGGAGATATAAAAGTAGATCCGTTTCTGGATGTGCTTCTCCGAAAATTTCGACAGGGGAATCGAGAGAAGTGTATATCACAAGCCTACATGGAACGGGCAATACACTCGTTTTCAGAGCTTCGTGCCAATGCTTCAGAAACGAAATTTGGTACTTTGTCTGGTCTATAGAGCCAGGCTTCCAACTGAACATCCAGATGAATTGCTTCTGGTATGCAACACGTTAAGGGAAAAAAGGTTATCCAGAAAGCTTCACCAAAAGGCANTTCTCAGCCCTTTTATTCTACGGTCCCTAAAAAAGGGTTTATGCAACAATTGATTTCAAGGGGGATATGCTAGCCAAAATGCTAACTCGTCGATTATCCCACGCCATTTGGATGAACATTAAGAAAAAGACAAGAAAGGTTGAAAGTAGGATTAAAGAGAAACTTCAGAATTTCAGTGGACTTATGTTGCAGAGAAATTGACAGGATGCAAGAACGCCACTGTTTACGACATCCAGCCATATTATTTAGCAAATATCGCTTGTTGTGGCAACCTATTTGGTAATATGCGTAACACGTCCCAACCAACGTAATCTACGGAGGTCGACCACTTGCTCCAGTGGGCGACCGCGGTTGCCTAAAACTTTTCACCTGACCTCAGCATT